TTTGAGACCAGCATGGGCTCCATAGTGAGTTCCATGGCTACCTGGGCTACGGTGAGACCTTGTCTCAAAAAGCTAAAACCCGAAAGTACTCATGCTGCTTTGAGTACAGTCTAACTATTTCTAAAACGTTCCTTTCCAGCAAGGTAGAGCTGGCTTTGACCTCCGACGGCAGGACCATAGTGTGCTACCACCCTTCTGTGGACATCCCCTACGAACACACCAAAGTACGTGCGGAAGTTGTCTGGTTTCAGCTTTTCTAGTTTACTGTCTTGACTTTTCCTCTCAGTTTTTGTCATCTTTCATGTAAAGTTTCCCAGTGTACAGGGGCAATTAGGACATCAGTTTTCTGACCTAAGAAATCTGATTAAAAACTGGACCCGATGGTAGAGACCTGTCATCCTGACCGCTTGGCCTGAAGCAGGAGGACATCAAATTCATCTTAGTGAGAACTTGTTTAAAATTTAAAATTTTTTAAAGGTTTGGAAATATTTTTAAAAAATTGTTTTTGAGTTTTTACTTTAAAATACTTAGATATTTGTCTTGATAATTTTATGCTTTTGTATTTTTTCCTGCTTCCTGCTTCTTCTTTTGTTTTTTTTTTTTTTTTTTTTTTTATCCTGGTGTGACCAGACACTGGATGGCCTGGGAATTGAACCCAGGTCCTCTGGAACGTCAGTCAGTGCTCTTAACCACTGAGCCATCTCTTTTCCCCTTGTTTTCATTTTTGATAATACTTGCCTGTTGCTGTTGTCTGTCAGCCCTGGTGATTCTCCTCCATTCTTGCTCCTTAGACCTACTCTCAGTCCAAACTGCTAAATCTAGAGCAGGATTGTTGTTCTTTTTTCTTTTTTTTTTTTTTTTAACTTCATTTTAATTTTTTCTTTTGAGGGGGTTTGGTTTTTGAAGATACAGTTTCTCTGTGTAACTTTGGAGTCTGTCCTGGATCTCACTCTGTAGACCAGGCTGGCCTTGAACTCACAGAGATCCGCCTGCCTCTGCCTCCCAAGTGCTGGGATTAAAGGCCAGCGCCACCACTGCCCGGCTGATGTTAGCTTTTTTATTAATTTTTTTATTGCATATTTGTGTACGATGTGTGTGGTTCAGGTGTGTGCCGTATGGTGGCTTGAATGGGAACGGCCCCCATAGGCTCATATATTTGAATGCTTAGTCACTGGGGAGTGGAGCTGTTTGAGAAGGATTAGGAGGTGTGGCCTTCACGGAGGAAGTGTATTACTGGGGGCTTTGGGTTTTAAAAGCCTAGGCCAGTCCCAGTATCTCTTCTTGCTGCCTGCAGATCCAGATCCAGAGCTCTCAGCTCCTTCTGCTGCTGTCCGTACACCGTCATGTTTCCTACCATGATGGCAGTGAACTAAACCTCTGAAACTGTCAGCCACCCCAGTTAAATCCTTTCCTTTATAAGAGTCGCGGTGGTCATGGTGTCTCTGCACAGCAATAGAACATTGACTAAGACACAGGGCGTGAGGAGGTCAGAGGATACCTTTGTAGACTCACTTCTCTCCATCTGTCTTTATGTGGGTACCAGGGTCAAACTCAGGTTGTCAGGCTTTCTCAGCAAGCACTTTCATTTACTGAGGCATCTTTTCTTTTTCTTTCTTTCTTTTCTTTTTTTTAAGATTTATTTATTTATTAATTACGTATACGGTATCTTGCCTGCATATACATCTTTGTACCAGAAGAGGGCACCAGATCTCATTACAGATGATTGTGAGCCAATACCTGACTGCTGGGAATTGAACTCAGGACCTCTGGAAGAGCAGCCCATGCCCTTAACCTCTGAGCCATCTCACCAGCCCCCTACTGAGGCATCTTGCTGGCCTCAAACACCTTCTTTATAATATTTACATTTTTTTTAAAGTGGGGAAGTCTTTTGAGGCAGAGTTTCATTATAGCCCAGACTGGATCTCTTTATGTTACCCAGGCTATCCTGGATACTCACTCTGTAGTTCAGAGTGTCCTCAATGACAACCCTTCTGTCTCGGCTTCCCCAGGGTTGAGATCACAGGTGAGTGCCAACATGCCTGACTTCAGACATTTGGCCTTTAGCAACAAACAGCAAAACCTAAGAGAAAACTCGTATTTGAAGGCTCTGTCAGCCAAGCAACAGCAGAGGAGATGCAGCGTATTTAAGAGCGCCGCCCAGACGCCGGGAATGGTGGGTGAACTGCTGTAGTCGGCAGGCTGAACAAGGCCAGCAGAAGGGACTACAGATGGTCTGAGGCTCCAGTTCTCCCCCACGAGAATCAGGAACGCGGGTGAGCGAGCCCAAGGCTCACCAGGCAGTTAGTTGCTGGGCGGGTGTAATTTTACCGAGTAATTGCAGTGGCCGTTGGGCAAGGTTGTGGTTTGAAGGAGTCTCTGCTAGTTCTCGCTGTCAGATGTACGAGCGTGAGAACTTCTTAGAAGAAGCCCCTAGCTTATCCACAGATGTTTAGTCGGGGCCTGACGCTTTAGCGGCCCCGTCTTCATCCTGACAGCTCCTACAGCGCTGATGCTGTGCTTGCTGGTGCCTTCCAGTGACGGTCACAGTCACCATGACTAATAGTCTCCTTTATGTGAAAGAGACGGTCCTTTAAGATGCTTTAACTGTATACAGGGTGCTTCTTTAAATATGCGTATAGCACTTGTGTCCTGTGTGGGGCCGTAGGGAGATGTCAGTAGCTACCATTTCCTGAAGTCTCCATGAGCTGGAGGAAGGCAAGGCACAGCATCCATTACCATTTGCTCGATCTGCACCAGCCCTTATGAGATAGCCGTTCCTCCTGACCTTACAAAGAGGGGTAGGGTTTAGGTTATCTCCCTGCCTATGCCTATAACCACTCCTAAGCAGCAGGACCAGGGACAGAAGTGCTGCTCTTAACCTCTTCGCTGTTCTTTGTTTTTCTCTCCCATGTCACTACTGTTGACGCGTGTGTCAGCATATAGTGTCACTATAACCACTGGCCCTAACTCATAGCGATCCCCCTGCCTCTGCCTCCTGGGTGCTGGACGGCAGGCATGCACCACTCTATGCTGCTTAGGAATGTCGCTTTTCAATGGGAGGTTGTCTTAGTTACTGCTCTGTTGTTGTGAAAAGACACCATGGCCAAGGCCACTTATAAAAGAAAGCATTCCATCAGGGGCTGGCTTACGTTTCACAGGGTTAGTCCACCATCATCACGGCAGCATGCAGGCAGTCATGATGCTGGAGCAGGAGCTGAGAGCTAATATTCACAAGCAGATGGGGAGACGGGGTCTGGTGGGGGCTTTGAAATCCCAAAGCCCACCTCCGGTGACACACCCCATCCAACAAGGCCACACCTCCTAATCTTCCCTAAACAATTCACCAACTGGGAACCAAACATTCAAATAGATGAGCCTGTGGG